GAAGGATACCTCACTATATTCTCACTCTTTCTGATTCCAAGCCGTCTATTGGGGCTCCAGAGGGTACTCAGAAGGTAGATGAGCCATGAAATGTTATGTCAGGAGGGTGGAAACCCAGGGCAGCGGGGATGGGAGGCCTGGGAGGCTGAGATAATTTGTACCATAGTTAATATTTGGGTGAATTTCTGTGACAAGTTCCCACTTCAGGACAGCCTGGGCATGATTAAGGTTATGCAGAGAGGGAGTATAGACTGGGGTTGCTCCAAGAGAAAAGTTCCTTTTAGCTCTAACATTCCATGATTTTAAGTTAGTTACCACTGTGGGCTGAATTGTGTCCCCCCCCAAAAAAAAAAATATATATATATATGTTAAAGTCTAACCCCAGTACCTCAAATTGGGACCTTATTTGGAAACAGGGTCTTGATAGAGGTAATCAAGTTAAAATGAGGTCATTAGGGCGGGCCCTAATCCAGTATGACTGGTGTCCTTATAGAAAGGGGAGATTTGGACACAGAAACAGGCACATACACAGGCAGGATGATGTGAGTACAGCCCTGCGATGACAGAGGCAGAGATTGACACAGTCCTAAGAAATGCCTGAGGCTACCAGAAGCTAGGGAGAGGCAAGGAAGGGTTCTCCCCCAAACTTTCAGAGAGAGAGTGGCCCCTCTGTGGGTCCTTTGATTTCAGATTTCTGGCCTCCACAACCGTGAGACAATAAACTTTTGTTGTTTTAAATCACCCTAGCAAAATAATACATGTTGAAGTTCTGCTTCAACTTGTCCATATTTTCTTATCTTTATCCATAAAATGAGCACTTAATGTCAACCTCCCAAGAGGGGGAGTTTTCCAGCTGAGATAGACACCAATGGGCTTTATGTTAGCCATGCAAAAGTCAGCTTCCTCACCTAACGGGTTTGCAAAACAATCGCAGCTGTTTCAAATTTTTGTTTTTGGGTTTTTTTTTTGAGAGGAAACTCTTCCAAAATGTTCCCTGGGAGAAGGGTTCCCACAATGTTGTGTTCTTTCCTTGGGGGACTATCCTAGACTGCTCAGCTCCCTCAGGATCACTCCTGCCCTCCTTTGTGAGTCTCAGAGGGTGAGGTGGCTGCTAATGTCTGCTGATATTTGGGAAAATCCTTTTTGTTTCCATTAGAACATTCAGTGTCCCCAATTTATGTGCCAGTGTGGGGAGGAGAGAAAATTGACTGATTCCACAAATATTTATTGAGTCTGCACTGTATGCCAGGTGCTGTTAAGGTACTTGGGATATATCCATAAACAAAACAGACCCCCAAATCCCCACCCCTGTAAAGCTTTTATTCTAGTGGGAGAGAGAGGCAATAAACAAAGACAAGCTAATTATATAGCAGGCGAAGAGATGATAATGTTACGGGAGAACATAGAATAGAGTTCTAATCCCATCTTTATGTTGATGCTCCAATAGTCCAGCTTTAAGCCATTAGGAATGACTTCAGGTTGGCTCCTGTGTCTTTTCAGAACAGACCTATCGTTTTCTGAGCACTTCCTTACTCTCCAGCACCCGAATATGTTCCAGGCTCATGTTTTACTTTTCCTACCCAAGCTCTGGAATTCAGCATTTGTCCAGGGAACTTAAGTTTTTTGAAATAGGAGAATGGTATTTAGAAACCATGGTCTGGGCACTAGATATCTGGATGTGCTCGATGCTACTGGGATGTCATTGAGCTAAGCAGTACACACGGGTGAACTAACACGTTCATACACACATCCATATTTATATCCACATTTCTTCATCTATAAATACGTTTATAACCATGGCTTCATACTTCTATTTCGGATTCCAAACCAGCACCACACAGAGTTCATTCTAGCCCTTTTCTTCATATATATACATATGTGTGTGTGTGTGTTGTG